AGCCTGCCACATTCTCCTCTTATCATTGAGCTTAGCTCTGTGAATTTATTAAGATCCTGGTTTTACAGTGGAATTGCCTGCATTTGAATACCAGCTCCATTTCTTAGAAACTTTGGGATCTTTGCATGATCTACCTAAGCCTGCTGTGCCTCAGTCTCTTTATCTGTAAAATGGGACAATTGTAGGGTCTGTCTCATTGAGTAAGGATGAAGTGAAGTGAAGAAGTGATGTATTGAATTATTTTGGTAGTGAACAGTACTGACTACCCCAAGGACTGTCTTTCAGGGATTGCAAAGGGGCTCCTTAGAGGGAAGGATGGTGAAACTTCATCTCACAGATTTTTGGAATGTTGTCAGGAGGAACAAATCCTTAGAAAAGAACATCAGAGGAAGACCTTCAATGAGTTACAGTAATTGTAACTAACAATAGACAGAGACTGTGAAGATGACACAGGATTCTGATCTGTTGTTCACAAGGTTCTGATCTGGTTTTGATCATAGAGTTTCTAGGAGTCATAATTGACTCAAGAGTACATAACGACAACTGTATCTCATTGTCAAATATAAGATTAAAATGCTATTATGTCCCTAAATTATCTCAGAAGAGTCACAAGCACATGAAACAATAATGCTAGACATTATTCTCAGTATTAATACATTGATATTCTCACAAGGATAGATTTCTAATGGAGCAGTTGCTTGCTGAAATGAGCCCTAAACCAGCTCCAGTAAAAAGTCTGTGTGTTTTAGGAAAGAGAGAGTATCCCAGTTTTGATATAGATAGACCTCATTGCAGGCCTATAATACCAGTTGAACAGCTGGAAATCTAGAGATACCCTTTCACTGGGCATGAAGGGCTGGCCTGAGCAGGACTGAGCTGCATAATCCTCTTGGGAATGTGGGATGTTTACCTTGGGTTCCTTGAGAACAACTTCACCTCCCTGAGCCTCAATTTTCTCGTGTAAAGGATGGATACATTGCCTACTGATTGACTCTAAAAGTAACAAAGAACAAGGCATCCTGAAAATGTGTGGACCAGTGATAACACCCTCGCAGAACTCACAGTCAGATCACCAAGATCTGGCCATCATCCAGACCCATAAAGAACTACACATTTTTCCTTCACAAAAATCAAAGCTTGGTCCAGATCCTCTCCTTGAGCTATGGGAGGCCAAGGGGAAGCTTGGTAAGCCCTTCACCTTAGGCAAACAGTCAGTTCTCCTTTACATCTCAAGTCAGAGTCTTTACATTGTTTTCTATAGTAGAGGTAAGTCCCACAGATGTTATCTTGAAGGGTTCTTGTCTTCCATGAGCAGCTAAGAAAGACAATAACCCGGTTTTGTCTTGAAGACCTCATTTCAAAGATGTTTCACTCCCAGCAAAAAAAGTCTGCTTTCATCTTTAACTGGAAATTGTCTCTTCTCAGGGGTGTTCTCACATCACATGCTCACTGTCCGCCTGGACCCTAATCCCACTTGAGGACAGCAATAAGGAAGAGAAGGGGCTCATGAAGGGAGAAACGGCCTCAGGGAGTTCCACAGGATGCAGCTTTTGTATTTGTCCTCTATCACCAGAGATCATCTGTAAATGCTCCGGAGAAATGGATTCCATTCCGCAGTGCAGGAGTAGTTCCACAAGGAAGTGGCAGGGAGGGGAGGGTTTCCCTGGCACCTGGCACACGGTGACTTACTCCAGGGGACGTGTGCAAACAGAACAGCCAGAGATCTCTCTTGCCCCACCTGGTTTTGCACAGTAGCCTGGATTTGGCTAAGCTTGAGCTTAATTCAAAGGAAGAATCCAACTGTCTAACCTATTATTATTGTTGCTGTTGTTAGTTGCCATCCTTTGACACTGATTCATGGCTACCCCTGGGTACAGATTCGGCATAGACCTTCAGGAATAAGATCCCCAGGACTGTTGCTGTTGTTGTTGTTATGTGCCATCGAGTCTATTGCAACTCATAGCGACCCTATGTACAATAGCTCTGACTCCTGCTCTATCCTGAGCCAACACCTACTCCAGGCACTGAATCATTCTCCATTAGGCCTCTCTCTTGCCCTACTATAATTGGCACATAAAATAATTCCTTAAAACTGAAAAGAGTCTCTCTGCTCCTCGTCTATCCAGATTGCCCTCTCTTCTTGTGCAGCCTCAGCCGCATCCCTGAGACACGATGGTGAAGGTCGGAGTAAACGGATTTGGCCGTATTGGGCGCCTGGTCACCAGGGCTGCTTTTCACTCTAACAAAGTGGATATTGTCGCCATTAATGATCCCTTCATTAACCTCAACTACATGGTCTATATGTTACAATATGATTCCACCCATGGCAAGTTCAATGGCACTGTCAAGGCTGAGAATGGGAAGCTGGTCATCAATGGGAAAGTTATCACTATCTTCCAGGAGTGAGATCCCGCCAACATCAAGTGGGGTGATGCTGGTGCTGAGTATGTTGTGGAGTCCACTGGTGTCTTCACAACCTTGGAGAAGGCTGGGGCTCACTTGAAGGGTGGTGCCAAACAGGTAATAATCTCTGCACCTTCTGCCGATGTCCCCATGTTTGTGATGGGCGTGAACCATGAAAAGTATGATAACTCTCTCAAGATTGTCAGCAATGCCTCCTGCACCACCAACTGCTTGGCTCCCCTGGCCAAGGTCATCCATGACAACTTCGGCATTGTAGAGGGACTCATGACCACAGTCCATGCCATCATTGCCACCCAGAAGACTGTGGATGGCCCCTCTGGAAAGCTGTGGCGTGATGGCCGTGGAGCTGCCCAGAACATCATCTCTGCATCTACTGGCGCTGCCAAGGCCATGGGCAAGGTCATCCCTGAACTGAATGGGAAACTTACCGGCATGGCTTTCCATGTCCCCACCCCCAATGTGTCAGTTGTGGACCTGACCTGCCGTCTGGAGAAAGCTGCCAAATATGATGACATCAAGAAAGTAGTAAAGCAGACATCAGAAGGGCCCCTCAAGGGCATTCTGGGATACACTGAAGACCAGGTTTTCTCCTGTGACTTTAATAGTGACACCCACTCTTCCACCTTCGATGCTGGGGCTGGCATTGCCCTGAACAACCACTTTGTCAAACTCATTTCCTGGTATGACAATGAATTTGGCTACAGCAACCAGGTGGTCGACCTGATGGTTCACATGGCCTCCAAAGAGTAAGATCCCCTTGGACCACCAGCCCCAGCAATAGCACTAGGAGAGAGAGAGAGAGACCCTCAGCTGCTGGGGAGTCCTTGCCCCAACTTGATCCTCCCACACACTGAAAATCTCACATCCTTGACACAAGTTTCCATCAAATCCCCCTGAGAAAGGGGAGGGGCTTGGCGAGCCCATCCTGTCATGTACCATCAATAAAGTACACTGTACTCAGCCAAAAAAAAAACAAAACTGAAAAGAGACCACAGAACTCTGCTGCTCTTAACACTCTGATTTGTTCCTATTTAAACCTCATATTGATACAGTCAAGTTGATTGTACAGTCCAGATCATTTTTACCTCTCTGAAATCATGCCTTTCTTTTTTCAGCCTTGCGAGCAGGCATTATAAACTCAGGCCCTTTGCACATGCTCTTTGCTCTTCCTGGAGCCCTCTTCTTTCTGATGTTCTCAAGGCCTCCCCTCACTGGTCTCAGGTCTTTGCTCATGTGCCATTCTGTCAGAGAGATCCTTCCTGAAATGCTGGTTTTATATAGTACCATTTGCTTGCTAAGAAAGCAATTAAGGGAGTTTTTTGTGCTTTTTTAAAAAAAATGAGTGAAAGAACTATTTTTCATGGAAAGATGTTTTATTTTCCGTTCAATTATACAAATAGATATTATAGATGAAATTATTCTCAGCATCAGAAGACAAATAGCATTATAAAGTGATAAAAATAATCAGGCAGGGTAAAAATTCTAAAACCGTATTCTTTTCTAACAGAATAATAAGTCATTAAATTGTTGGGAAATGGAAGTCAGTTGGGTACCAAGCTGAGCTACCAACTCAAAGGCACGCAGTTCGAATCCACCAGCGACACAATGGGGAGAGATGAGCAGTCTCCCCCCATGCAATTTACAGCCTCTGAAAACCCACTGGAGGGTCAGTTCAACTCAATGGTAAATAATAGCATAATGCCAACAACATTTGTAACCAGATCATTATTTTTGTGCAGTTAGTGCTTGAGAGCCTTTTTTCCCCAAAATTGTAAGTACGCCTTCCCTTGTGAGAAAAATTTAAATTATCAATGTATTCAACAACTTCCGTTACTTGCCACAATCATGTTCATGCCTCAGGCTTCAAGAGATTTCATGTATTATTATTGTTGTTGTTGTTGTTGTTGTTGTGTACTGCAGAGTTCAAACTCATGACTGACCTTCCAGCAGGTTTTCAGAAGCAGTAAAATCACACAGGAGATTGTCCATCTTTCTCCAAAGGAGCAGCTGATAGATTCAAACCCCATACCTTTCCGTTGGCAGGGCGACAATTCTTTACCACTAAACCACCAGAGCTTCCTGGGGATTTAATGGTGTTGTGTGCTGTAGGGTCAGAACGGACCCATATCTGACCCTCTAGTGAGTTTTTAGAGGCAGTAAATTGCACAGAGGTGGATTGATTCAGTGACTGGCGTAATCGGGATGGGTGTGTCGGAGGCAGTGAGATTGGCACAGGATAGAGCAGGGTTTAGGGCTGTTGTACACAGGGTCGTTATGAGTCACAAGTGACTCGATGGCACACAACAACAACAACAAATTGCAGAGAAGGAGAATGCCCATCCTTCTCCCTCAGAGCAGCTGCTAGATTTGAGCTGCATTATGTAAAGGAGAAAAAGCACGGGTGAAGCTAGATGTTTAGGAGGGCCAAGAAATGCTAACAGCAAGAGTTACTTGAGGCATCACAAGGTAAGTTTCTCTCACCATCAAGGATGCTTCATCCAACATCCACTAAGTCGGGTTGATTAACTAGCCAACTGGAGGCATCACATTCAAATAGAGTCTTTCTGTCTTCACAGGTGGATTATGACCGAGCACAGATGGTCCTCAGCCCTCCACTGTCCGGGTCTGACACCTATCCCAGGGGCCCTGCCAAACTACCTCAAAGTCAAAGTAAAGCGGGCTATTCCCCAAGCAGCCACCAGTACTCGTCCGGGTACCACAAAGCCTCTCTATACCACCACCCCTCTCTGCAGACCAGTTCCCAGTACATCTCCACAGCTTCTTACCTGAGTTCTCTCAGCATCTCGTCCAGCACCTACCCGCCCCCCAGCTGGAGCTCCTCCTCAGACCAGCAGCCCTCCAGGGTATCCCATGAACAGTTCCGGGCTGCTTTGCAGCTGGTGGTCAGCCCAGGAGACCCCAGGGAGTACTTGGACAACTTTATCAAAATCGGGGAAGGGTCCACTGGCATTGTGTGCATCGCCACGGAGAAGCACACGGGGAAGCAAGTGGCTGTAAAGAAAATGGACCTCCGCAAGCAGCAAAGACGAGAACTGCTTTTCAACGAGGTAAACGGCATGTGTTCTCCATCACCCCTTTTCTGTATATTAGCCAGCGTGGTTTTCCACTTTCTCATTTGCGTTTTCCACTGAGAACTAAAATGTACATGCTGGGGCGAAACATAAATATTTGTGCCCAGGAAACACTATGCATTCTAAAGTAATATCCCTTTTATAATTATTTTGAGAGACTTGGGGAGAGAAATGATTTGGGGTTTTTGTGGGTAGGAAGGCAGAGTATTTTAAAGCTAACAAGTCAGGATTCCAAGGTGAGATTATGTATTATTAGCCTTTAATCAAAAATGAACAGCTGTATCTCACGATTCTTGGATCCATCTTGGGCCCCTTGACTGCTTTCATTTGGGAGTATTCTCTCACAAGGTGCAGAATTTAGTCTTTCAACTTACATCATTACTCTTTTAGCACTTTTGAGAGAGGTCCTTGACAACAGATTTCCCCAAGGCAATGCATATTTTAATGTCTTGAAACTACTGTTATCATGGCAGCATCCTAGTGAATGGAAATCATTGACAACTTCAGCCAGTAATTTAAAAAAAATTAAATATGTGCAGAAGTTGTGCTGAGCAGTCACTTCACGTTATGAAAATAGAATCAATTATGATTGTGGGCCCCTCTTGGAAGGCTGAAGTGAAGCCACCACTGTAACATGATTTGGGGCTTGTTCCCCACAGGGAAGGTCCCTCAAGATTTTGGTTTGCAGATCAACGGAAAAACTGAACTGGAGAAAAACTAGAAGACATTAGTTTATTGGACCAGAAAAATTTTTATTGAATTACTTTTCTAACTGTAATTTAATCAAAGTTTACAGAAAGGTTGGGTTTTCTTTCATCAACTGTTGCCATTTTTCTCCTTCCATTTCCCCTCTCTCAGTCCACTTTGCAATGCACCTCTAGTTCCAGATTGTTGTCATACATATAATGCCTAATCATGTATTCCTTTCAGACAGTCCTTCCCCTCATCTGTCCCAGTGAGTGTTCGAAACTTTCTGACCAGGAGGAAGAGGCCACACTGCACTAATTCCGGTGGCATTGGTCTCCAGAACCACCTCTGAGGCTGGAGAAAGCAGCTAACTCCTTTTCACACTCACACAAAAACCATCAACATGCAGCAAAATAAAGAATTACCTGGGCTGATGGGAAATGCTAGCAGTACACGAGCTTAACTTAAGGGGAACCATCACCTACCTGCTTGAAGCATGGCTAAAAACAATAGGGGGAACAGTCACTTTGCCCTTGTTGTGCGAAGAAACTGAAACCTACTGTTTTCCTAGGAGAAAAACAAATTTACAGGTATCCTTAGAGTATACAGGCCTAATAAAACTCTGCTACTTAACCTAAGTGTAGCCATTTGGGGATATTTATAGGATATACCATACACATAATTTCTCTCTAGATAAATTATTTCAAGTTAACTCCAAAAATTCAGCAAAAGTAGTCATCCTAGCAAGCAGATGCAAGTTAGTTTCTTAATACCCTGATCAAGGCCACTTTCTATACAGCAGGAGAAACAAACTTATCCATTCTGTGTTATCTTCATAATTACCAGCATTTTGTGCCATTGCTGTAGCTCTGTGCTGGTCCATCCCGGAGAGGTCCCCCATGTCCTCAGTGACCATATACTTCAACTAACCCTGATATCCCCCTCTGGTGATTGACCTTCTCTGGTGGCAGGCCTATAAAGTTTTTATTGAATAACTTTTAGAAGTCAATCGGCAGGCCTTTCTTCCTAGTCTTAGTTTGGAAACTCTGTTGAAACCTGTCCACCATGGCTGACCCTGGTGGTATATGAAATACAAGGTGGCATAACTTCTAGCATCTTGGCAGCATGCAGGCCCCATGGTACAAAGAGCGGATGGGTGATGGTTTTATGCCTCACTCACACTCAGTCACTGCTTTCAAGTAGATTCTAACGCACAGCTGACCCTCCATTGCGTTTCCAAGGCTAGACACATTGCATGGAAGGAGAGTACTGATCTTTCTCCCCCAAAAGCCACTGGTAGATTTGAATCAGCAGAGAGGTACAGCCTTTGGGTTAGCAATGCTCCTCTCTGTTATACCCCCGACTCTTCTTTTACCCATGTTTTTGTTGTTAAGTGTCGTCGAGTTGCTTGTGATTCATAGCAAACGTATTATGTATGACACCCCTAAACCCTGCTCTATCCTGTGCCAATCTCACTGTCACAGACGCACCTACCCCCACTACCCCAGTCACTGAATCAACCCACCTCATAGAAGATCTTCCCCTCCTGCGCTGTCCCTCCACACTCCCAAGCATGACGTCCTTCTCCAAGGACTGGTCCCTCTTTACAACATGTCCAAAGTATGTCAGATGAAGCTTCAGAATCCTTGCCTCCAAGGAGCAGCCTGGTTTAACCCTCTCCAGGGTGAACTTGTTTGTTTTCTTAGCAGTCCATGGTATATTCAATACTCTTCTCCAGCACCACAGCTCAAAGGCATCAATTCTCCTTCTGTCCTCTAACCTTTTATCCAAAGGTCCTATTTATTTTTACCTTCAAGATATATTTTTTGTATTCAACCCAAATCTCTCTGACAAAATGCAGACCTTCTACCAAGGAAATATTAAGTGGGCTTCATGTGACCCCTTCATGCCCACCAGTAATCCTACTTTGATTACTTCACTCTCTGGTGTTTACTTCCTGACTCTTGCCATGTGGGGAAGAGGGGACTCTTTTGCCAGGGCAGTCAGCAAAGGGTCTACAAAGTACATTCTAAAGAAGACCCTTAGGGGGTCACAGCCCCATTATACCATTAGCTAAACTTCCTTTTGCAAATGCAAAGCTTCCCATTATTCCACCTTCCACACACTACCCCTCCTTTCCTCTGTCTCTCTTGCTCTGATATCCGATTGACCTCCTGAACTTGCTAACTTGATTCCTTTTATTTCTACTGGGTGCCCTTGATGTAATTTTTTTTGGTCTGAATAAGTTATTTGCAATCAATATTTACCTATCAGTTGTGCTCAAGTGTGACCACAAAAAAGGAAAAGAGAACAAATATTTCCTTTCCTCTTCGTGAACTAAACACTGTCATTCCTTCTGTCCCAGGTTGTGATAATGCGAGACTACCACCATGACAACGTGGTTGACATGTACAACAGCTACCTTGTCAGCGATGAACTCTGGGTGGTCATGGAGTTTTTAGAGGGTGGTGCCTTGACAGACATAGTTACTCATACCAGGTACGTGTCTTCATTATCTAGGAAATAGTTAAGGTATTTCCTATTCTCTGCCAAAGAGCCTTGGTGGTGCAGTGGTTAAGTGCTTAAGTTGTTAACTTTGAGGTGAGTAATATGAACCCTAGCTGCCCTACAGAAGAAAGATAGACACCTCTGCTTCCATAACAATTATTGTTGTTGTTATATACTGTAAAACACCTATGCTGTTGTTGTTGTTATGTGCCATCGAGTCGCCTGTGACTCATAGCACTCCTATATACAACAGCCCTAAACTCTGCTCATAACACCTATAGAGTTATTATATACCATTGGTATTTAACACTCCTCCAGTGTGGGTTCAAGGCCACCAGCTGCTCTGTGGGAGAAGGATGGGCACTCTTTTCCCATGTGATTAACTGCCTCTGAAAACCCACCGGAGGGTCAGCTATGGGTCAGTTCCCGCTCCACCATAAACAATAAACAAAAGTGAGGGTTCAGAGATGGTAAATCACATGGAAAGAGATTACTCATCTTTCTCCTGAGGAACAACTGGTGGATTCAAACCGTGAGCCTTTGGGTTGGCAGCACACCTCTTTCCCACTGAGGACCAGACCTGCAAACGTTATGGGGCAGGTCTGTTCTATGAGGCAGATTTTTGGGGGTTTACTACTATCTGCCAAGAGGAGACCTCCAATGACAATCTTTATGAACGTTACCGTCTTAAATCCTACATTCTCCAGAGTACCTCCTGTAATGGTATCCATGTATGTTACACTCAATTACACCAGTATTACCCCTTCCCTCTGGAAGTTCATTTATGCACATTGATTTAAAATCAACAAGTATTTGGGACTGATGTTTTAGGACAAGTAATAAAATTATCTATTATTGTTCATACTTATTTCTAAAGCAAAGTTCCATGCCATCTCTGTATTCTAATACCATCAAGTAAAACTGAGGGGAGAAAAGAGGAAAAAAATCATGTCATGATAATGAACATGCAGAGACGAAAACAGTCTTCAGGTCTGTTTTTTAAACAGTCTTATAAGTCACTCGCTCACTCATTGCTGTCAAGTCTACTTCGACTTATAGCTGAGCCCCCAGCAGAATGCCCAGGCTGTAAATCACACAGGAAGAGGCTGCCTGTCTCCCTCCCATGGGGTGGTTGGTAGAAACAAAACACCAGAAAAGCTCGACCTTTTGGCTAGCAGCTCAACTCTCTACCGAGTGATTAATTACCATCCCCTGGATTCTCTGATACATTCAGCACCTTTTATGAGTCATGCTCTTCCCTAAGTACTGAGGTTACAGAAGTCACAAGATGAGTAAGACTCAAATGTCTTCCCTCAGAGAAGTCGTGGTTAAGAAATAAATACACATAATACTTGTGTAAAATGCTTGTCTGTTGGATACTTCTCTAAAACTGATCATTCAGATTAAGACACACTAGGAAGAAGGATTGGCCATCCACTTCTGAAATAGCAGGCCTCTGAAAACCCTATGTCCACTTGTTATACATCAGAGTTGGACAGTGACCAAGAAGGATAGAAGGAGAATTGATGCCTTTGAGCTGTGGTGTTGGAGAAGAGTATTGAGGGTACCATGGACTGCTAAGAAAACAAACAGATTCATCCTGGAGAGGATTAAACTGGGCTGCTCCTTGGAGGCAAGAATTCTGAGGCTCCTTCTAACATACTTTGGTCATGTTGTAAGGAGGGACCAGTCCTTCAAGAAGGACATCATGCTTGGGAGGGTGGAGGGACAACGCAGGAGAGGAAGACCCTCTATGAGGTGGATTGATTCAGTGACTGGGGTAATCGGGATGGGTGTGTCAAAGGTGGCGTGATTGGCACAGGACAGAGCAGAGTTTATGGCTGTTGTACATAGGGTCAATATGAGTCGCAAGCAACTCGACAGCACTTAACAACAACAACAATACTTGTGAAAAACTTTGTTAAAAGATGTGTCTACGTACCAGGGAAGAAATCTAAGTGTCTCCGAGATAATCAGGAATGATTTCCAGTAGAAGATTTCCTCTGAGATGGGTTACAAGAGATGAATAGACTGGATTTTGAGAGCTCCTGGACAAAATAAATGGGAAGAAATTGTACCAAATGAAGAAGAAAGAATATTTGCTAATGCTGAGCGTCTCAAAACTTAGTTTGCATGTGACTCATCTACGGATCTTATAAAACAGCTGCTATTGGCCAGGGAGAGATCGAGTTCAATGCCATCGAGTTAGAACCGACTCATAGCTGATGGTCCGTTGGATTTCAGAGGCTGTATACTACACACAAGATAATGCCCATCTTCCCCTTAAGGAGCCCCTGGTGGACTCGAACTTCCAGAGACGTGAGTGAAGCCTTTTGGGTTAGCAACACAGCTTCCTAAAGACTAAGCCAACAGAGCTCTCACCCAGGATGTGCTGATGCTGCTGGTTCATAAGCTTTACATGGGAACCAGAAAGTTCTAAATATCATGCAGATGATACAACCTCTCACAGAAAATGAAGAGGACTTGAAGGATTTGCTATAGAAGATCAAAAACTAAAGCCTTCAATATGGACTGCACCTTAACATTGTTGTTGTTGTTGTGTGTACTGTATAGTTGGAACCGACCCATAGCTGACTCTCTGGCAGGTTTCCAGAGGCAGTTAATCACACCAGAGGAGATTGCCCATCCTTCTCCCACGCAGCTGCTGGTGGCCTCAAACCATGTGTCCTCAGGATTACAGCACAGCATCTTGCCACTAGGCCACCAGAACTCCCCTTAACATTAGGAAAGCAAAAATCCTCATCACTTGACCAGAAGGCAACATCATAATAAATGAAGAAAAGATTGAAGTTGTCAGTAGTTGTTTTACTCAGATTTATAATCAACACACATTGTAGTAACAGTCAAGAAATTGAAAGGTATGTTGGTTTGAGAAAATCTGCTAACAGAGACCTTTCCAAAGTGCTAAAGACCAATAATGTGAGTTTAAAGATTAAGGTACTCCTGATCAAAGCCAGGGCATTTCTAATTTATTCCTAGGAATAAAGAATGATTAAAAGTGACAGAATAAGAATCAATGCCTTTGAAACGTGGTATTGGCCAAGACCATTGAATATCCCATGAACTTCCAAAAGAACAAACTAGTCTGTCTTGGAGAAAATTAAGCCAGGGTGGTTTGGTTTTTAGTTTTTCTTTTGGTTTTTTTTTTAGAATCAAGGATGATGAAACTTCATCTCACATACCTTGGACATATTGTCAAAAGCGACCAGTCCTTGAGGAAAAGGCTGATCACACTGGGAAAGGTGGAAAGTCTGAACAAAAGAGGGAGACTCTCAACTAGATGGATAGACCAGTGACTGTACCGCTGGGTTTGACATAGCAGAGATCTTGAGAATGGTATAAGACGGGGCAGCGTTCAGATCTGTTGTTCACAGCGTCATTATGAGTCATAGTTAATTTATTGATGCCTAATAACAACAAGAAACAGACACAACCTAGTCAGTATGGGAGACTTTAAGCTTAAGTTTCATCTTGCAGTTATACAAAATGCTAAAAGAGCTGAAAGAAAAAGAGGTGTTGAGTGTTAATGGTTCCCTGATTGGACATGGATTCAGGTGAGAAATAACAGGTGGAAAGCAAGGGAACAGGGAAGCACTGGAGAGCTTTGGAGGAGAGACTGATGTGAGGTCAATGCTCAGTCACAGCTCAACAGCTCTGCTATAGTTGTACCGTCAAGTTGGAACCAACCCACAGCTGACCCTCTGACGGGTTTTCAGAGGCGGCTATTTGCGCAGGAGGAGACTGCCCATCTTTCACCTGCGGAGAGGCTGGTAGATTCAAACCACGTGCCTTCGGGATTGCAGTGCAGCTTCTTGCCAGTCAGCCACCTGAGTTCTCTGGCCCTTATAGCTGTTTTGGTAAACTATCTGAAAACAAAGGGGTGAGGGTCAAGAGATGTACTTTTATTGCCTGGTTCTCAGCTGTCAGATTCCTGTTGGTGCAGACTCAGGGCACACCCACTGCACCCCACTAAAGAGTACCTCCAAACCCAATGTACGTGCACGAAGCAAATATATACAAAGAATGCATGCAAGCCATTTAAATATTATAAGGAAAAGAGATATTTGCAGTGAATAAATCACCGATTTTATAATTTTTTAAAAAAACAATAGAGTTTCTCAGATCATCTTAATTTATACACATGTACATACTGGAGGAAACCTAAGAATAAAATAGAAGGGTTTGATTTTTGTGGTTGTTGATTGCCTTCGAGTCGAGCATGACCCATGGCGACCCTGTGAACAAAAGGCCTGAAGCCCTTCTACAACCATTGACAGCAAAGTTCATCGATTTTCCAGAGGTATGTTGTTTAAAAAGTGGTTGCCACTCCTGCTTCCAAACCTGTCATAGTATGTTATTGTTGTTGTGTGCCTTTGAGTCGCCTGTGATGCATAGACACCCTATATGTACGGCAGCTCTTAACCCTTTCCTGTCCTGAGCCTGTCTCACTAATTCTGACACACCAACCCCCATTGTCCCAGTCCTTGGAGAAGAACATCATGTTCAGATGGGTAAATGGACAGCACAGGAGAGGAAGACTGCGGATGAGATGGATTGATACAGAGACTGGGGGAATGAGGTTTCATTAGACCTTGTAATAAATTACATTAATCAGTGTTACTCAATATTATAAAGTAAAATGTCCATGGATGTTAAAATGCAAATGCAATATGACATGTAAGCTTCCACTCAAATAAAAACTGTTCTAAACAATAATAAGACAACTATGATTTACATAGAAAATAAGTCATCAAAATATATCCAAGGAACAGATGGATTGAGGGAGTTTCTGATAGCTATACGTGTCTCTTAGAGTTCTTTTTTATGAAGATCCATTTCAGTTGTTACCCATGGAAGCCAACTAAGGAGTGGCCTCTCTGTAATCTATTGTATTTTCTAATAGATTTTAACCAACCATGCCCACTAAGTTACCCTCTTTAAAGGCAGAGGAGCTTCAGAGAGCAAGAAGAAATCGTGCACCACAGTACACATTTGGAATCTAAACTCTGACAACTAATCCCTGAGAGGGTTTCCCACAGCCAATATTCCATATGCTGCTTTCCTGAGTGACTGATTGGTTAGCTGATCAAACACCTAACAGCTTCCTCCTCAGTGTGTGATCTAAAAATAAGCGTCATCCACATCACCTGGGAAGTTGATAGAAATGCACTCTCAGACCCAACCCAGGCCTGAAAACCAAAACCCTTAGTGGTGGCAACATTTCAGCAGCAAATAGGGGCAAAAACCTACTCTGCAGGGTCTCCACAGCTAGAAAGCGTTACAGGAGCAGACATGTTTCTCCATCAGAGTAGCTAGGATTCCAACCATTGACCTTTTGACTCAGAGCCAAGCACTTTAACCACAGTGCCACCAAAGGTCCTTATTCAAGACCGACTGAAAGAAAGCCACAATTTGCTGGACACTCTTATGCAGATGGCACAACCCTGCTTGCTGAAACTGAGGAGGACCTGAAGCGCTTGCTGCAGAAGGTCAAGGACTGCAACCTTCAATATGGATTGAAGCTCAACATCAAGAAAACAAAGATTCTCACCACTGGACCAACTGGCAGCATCATGATAGATGATGAAGAGATTGAGATTGTTGACAGCTTCAATTTGTTTGGCTCTACAATCAACGTTCTTGGTACCAGCAGCCAGGAAATAAAAAGACATAGTGCATTGGGAAAGTATGCTGTCAGAGACCTCTCCAAAATACTAAAGAGCAATGATGTCAGTCTGGAGACTAAGGTGTGCCTGATACAGGCCATGGTCTTCAATTACTTGCTATGTGTCAAAAAGCTGGACAATGACTATGGATGATAGAAAGAGAATTGATGCCTTTGAGTTGTAGTGCTGGAGAAGAGTATTGAATATACCATGGACTCTTAGAAGAACAGACAATTTTGTCCTAGAGAGGGTGAGACCAGGCTGCTTCTTGGAGGCAAGGATTCTGAAGTTTTGTCTGACATACTTTGGACATTTTGCAAGGAGTAACTAGTCCGTGGAGAGGGACATCATGCTTGGGAGGGTGGAGGGACAGCACAAGAGAGGAAGACCCTCGATGAGATGGATTAATTCAGTGATTGGGATAATGGGATAGCTGTGCAGAGACAATAAGATTGGTACAAGATAGAGCAGGTTTAGGGCTGTTGTACATAGGGTCATTATGAGTTGCAGGTAACTTGACAGCACATAACAATAACAAACATGCTTATTTATACTGAAGTTAGAGCGCTAACCTAGGACCTTCATAAATTACATTATATTTGATTTCCAGGAAACACAGTGTTCCAGAAGGGCCAGAAAAGTGGCACGTTCTTCATGCTTTTTAAAATTTAATCTCCACTCTCCTCTTTAAGTGGGTGTTAATGTTTGACAGATGATGAAGCTATGAGTCAGAGATGAGAAGTATCTCGCTCAAAATCACACGTTTGATAATTGATGGAGCTAGACTCTGAATTTGAATTTGACTTCAGAACTGAGATGTCTTTCTACCATGCCAGCTCTCCTCCCCTCAGGAGTAGAAATGCATCAGTCGTTTGTCATTTGCCCTGATTATTTCCAAACCACATAGTTAGGAATGATAGGTGATCCCCCCCAGTTAGTTATTAGGGATTTGACACAATTAAGTTTTGCTACAATTGACCAGTGAAGAATCTTCTTTTTATGCCAGCTTCAAATAATCTACATTTTACGAATCCTCTTGAAGCTGGTAGTTTTAAAATTCGAGCTAAACCCTCCTGCTGATGTTCCCAACCTCTGAGGGACGTAGTCTTGGCAGATGTGAAAATTCTCATCTGCAAACTTGTCTAACAGACTCCCTGCAAAAACTGAGAACTAAGAGGTGGTGGGTTTCATGTTTCAGACGAAAACTTTCCTTCTCACCTGCTTCTCTGTGACGCTGATCTATTGCTGTAAGAGCGTGTTTTAAGAGAGAGGCACGTCTCATTATATTCATCAGTTGTATGTCTTCAACATTCTCGAAGGGTTTTACTTTTGAATCACATGTGACTCGGTCATAATTTGCTGACATCTACAAGACTGAAGCTCACGTTAATGTCTGTTTCCTTGTGACGCTGAGTTGAAATTCACTTGTGATTACTTCATCTTCCTAAGGCAGACCTTACACTTGGTCTTCAACTTCTTCTCTCTCCTGAGAACCTCATCTGCATGCCAGACAGTGTGTTTCAGGTGCTATGTCTGTCAGCATTCTTCAGGGAAACAGAACAATAGATGTAACTAGCTAACCTAACCAACCAGTTGCCTTCAAGATGATGCCAACTCATGGTGACTCCATGTGTGTGGATAGAATTGTGCTTCCCGGGAATTCATGGCTGGGAGCTTTTAGAAGCAGATCATCAGGTATTTCTTCTGAAGGACCTCCAGGTTTGAACCAACAGTCTTTCAGTCATCAGCTGGGTGCTTAACCATTTAAGCTACATAGATACATTTATTTTAAGAAATTGACACAAGTGCGTGTAGGGGCTTGTAAGTCCAGAATTTGTAGGTTGGGGGTTCTGTCTCTCTGTCATTAAGATCCATGTATGATTGAACAAATGGCCGGGTCAAGTGGACACGCAGATACTCCATAGATAACTATATTTTAAAGAATTGACACAAGTGATTATAGGGGCTTGCAAGTCCAGAATCTGTAGCTCTCTCCTCTCTTCTCCTCTCCTCTCCTCTCCTCTCCTCTCCTCTCCTCTCCTC